TAGGCTAAACATGAGCAAACAATGTGATGAAGCTGCCAAATAATGAGAAGTAGTAGTTCCTCTATACTCCTCACTAGTCAGACCTCACCTGGAATACTGTCCAGTTCTGGGCACCAAGATTGAAGAAAGATGGAGGTAAATTAGAAAAGGTCCAGCGGAGGGCAACAAAAATGATCCAGAGTCTGGAAACGCTGCCCTGTGAGGAGAGACTGAGGGAACTGGGCATGTTCAGGCTTGAGAAGAGAAGACTGAGGGGGGACATGATATCCCTCTATAAGTATCTCAAAGGCTGTCACAAAGAGGAAGGTCAAGATCTCTTCTTGCTGATGCCAGAGTGTAGGACACAGAATAATCCATTCAAATTGTGACAACCCAGTTTCAGGATGGACATCAGGAAAAGCTTCCTCACTGCCAGAGCAATACAATGCCTGGAGAGGTGGTGGGCTCTCCCACACTTGAGCCATTCCAAAAGAAACTGGGCAGCCATCCAAGTTGGATGGTGTAACTTGATGTCCTGCAACAGCAGGGGGCTGGATTTGATGGCCTTCATGCCCCTTCCAACTCTTCTATGATTAATAACACCAAGAACACGTCACCTTCAGTTATGCTACTGGTTATACCATGCTCAATCTCATGCATGTTTGGACAGAGGGGGAAAAATCCTTTTCCTAGCATTCTCCAGTCAGCATGGCTGGCTGGGGAATGCTGGGCACTGAAGGATTTTTTTCTGTCTAAGCATGCACAAGAGAGAACCCTAAGATCATTGTATTTTATCAGAATTATATTCTATCCATCCTTCTTGGACTTCTCCAGAGATACTCTTATTTTATTCTTGACCCAGAGGAGAATTAAGTCAGGCCAACAGAGATTTACTCACCGACTGGTTTAGTATCTGGGCTAAATGGGGTTTTGAGCCCAGTTTTACCTCGGCATAATAGTGGCATTCCTTTCTCATTAGTAAACTTTGGGGGCGGGGGGACACAACTACACAGTTAAAGTGCAGTCCTATCCAAATTTGGACAGGAAAAAGTGACTCCAAGACACCTGGGGTAGAGACTTGGGTGGCGTCTAAGGGACCAAGCCTTTCTAAGTCTCTCATACTGGATAGTTCAGTGCCAAACATGTTCCTTTTGCCGCACAGAGACTGGGTGAGGGATGCTAACGTAAATCCAGAGAGGTTCCACACAATGCCAAATATGGAAATGCAAGTGATGAATACTCAGATAATTCTAGGATTGCAGACGTTTTACAGCAGTTAATCCTGGGAAAGGAGAACAAATATATGGAATATATAGCTATATTCAGCAGAGGAAAAGAAGAAAAAGAGGGCTATTCTATTGCCTCTGGTGGAAAGCCCAGCTACCTCTTCCGGGCTGCCCCCTAATGGCAGCTAGTCCACTGCTGCAGAACAGAGTAGAAAATGGGAGCAGCAGAGCCCTTGCCGTGCTTCTGCTGAGCAAGAGATGGGAACTTTTTCTGCCTCAGCTGATCATTATACCACTGAACTTAGCCTGAGCTTGCTTACTCCTTCCTTCCTTGCTTCGCATACCTTTTTCCTTATAGTTTAGCTTGTAAGCCTGAAGAAAGGGATGGTTGTGCAGGCCACTCCAGAAGTCTTTTCGCTAAAGAGAGGGGTAAACATGCTTCAAATTATAATAATAAAGTCACACCTATTTTTGTTAAGGTATGAGCCAAAGTGGCTGCCTGTAACCCTGGGAACTAAAGAGAAGTTCAAGGCACTGCCAGGATTCTTCACTGGATGGTGGTGCTTTGCTCCTGATCTGAGGTTGGTCTTGCGACCTTGGAGCTGCAGCTGCTTTGCAAAGAGTTGCGAGGATGAAGGGAGGATGATCTGGAGGATTTGGAATCCACATTTTGATCTTAAAGCACTTCTCCAAGTCTAGAAGGCATCTAGCAATTAGAGCATTGGAGCAGGATGGTGCTTTTGGTGACTGAGATTTAGCACACTCCTAAAGCACTGCCTTTTTGCCTTTTGGTACTGTTCATAAGGTCCATGAGAATCCCTCAGAAGAAATGGAGTAGCCTTCATAGTCAATAAAAGAGTAGGAAAAGCAGCACTGGGATACAATCTCCAAAATGACAGAATGATCTCAGTTCGAATCCAAGGCAAACCATTCAGCATCACAGTAGTCCAAGTCTATGCCCCAACCACTGGTGCTGAAGAGGCTGAAGTTGACCAGTTCTATGAAGGCCTACAACACCTTCTAGAATTAACACCCAAAAATGATGTCCTCATAATCATGGGGGATTGGAATGCTAAAGTAGGAAGCCAAAAGATAACCAGAATAACAGGCAAGTTTGGCCTTGGAGTACAAAATGAAGCAGGGCACAGGCTGGTAGAATTTTGTCAAGAGAACACGATGGTCATAGCAAACACTCTTTTCCAACAACCCAAGAGACCACTCTACACATGGAAATCACCCTGCCAACAAAAGTGTGTATAGTCAAGGCTATGGTTTTCCCAGTTGCAATGTATGGCTGTGAAAGCTGGACCATAAAGAAGGCTGAGCACCAAAGGATTGAGGCCTTTGAATTGTGGTGCTGGAGAAGACTCCTGCGAGTCCCTTGGACTGCAAGACAATCAAACTGGTCAGTCCTAGAGGAGATCAACCCTGACTGCTCTTTAGAAGGCCAGATCCTGAAGGTGAAACTCAAATACTTTGGCCACCTAATGAGAATGAAGGACTCTCTGGAGAAAAGCCTAATGCTGGGAACAATAGATGGCAAAAGAAGAAGGGGATGGCAGAGGATGAGGTGGCTAGATGGAGTCACTGAAGCAGTTGGTGTGAGCTTAAGTGGAATCCCGGAAATGGTGGAAGACAGGAAGGCCTGGAGGAATGTTGTCCATGGGGTCGTGATGGGTCGGACATGACTTTGCGACTAACAACAACAATACTGCCTTAGCTCCATGTGGTTTTACATAATTAGACATTAAGAGACAAAACAGAGAGCAGTAATAGTTTTAGCAGTACTACACTGTATACTTAAATTACTCATTTATTAAACTGGGATTCTTCCCTCAGGATGGTCATTTAGTCTGGTTCTTCCTGCCTTTTTAAAAGGGAAACCATCTGGCCCTTAAACCTATAGGACTCTTGAAATTTTCGAAGTACCACTGAAATTATATCTTCAATTTCTTTGTCAAAAGCTACAATTTTAAGATAATGAATGAATATATATATATATATAGATAGAGAGAGAGAGAGAGAGAGAGAGAGAGAGAACTATTTAAGGCCTTATTTGTAGCCTTTGTTGACTGGGATTTTAATGAGCACACTGTTAATGGGATGTATTCAGTACTGACTAACTATTCAGTCAGTTATTTAGAAGAAGGAAGCTGGATGGATTGTTGCATGACAAGGGAAATTTCAGAGAAGCTAAAAGAATTCTTTGCATCTGTCTTTAAGGCAGAAGATGCATGGCCAATACAGAAACATAGAAACAGGGTGAGTCAGAAGGGGTCTCCCGGTCCATCTAGTCTGACCCCCGGCTCCAGTCGGTTCCACTCATAACATGCCCTCCATGTGCATGTCCAGCCTATCCTTGAATACCCTCACCCATGTGGCCTCAGCCACCTCCCGTGGAAGCCCATTCCACATCCTCGGGGTCCTAACTGTCAGGAAGTGCTTCCTGGCATCTAAATGGAACCTTGGATCCTTAAGCTCTGTAATATCTACACTAAGACTGCTATTTTCAGGAAAGGAGACTGAGGAACTGGGGCACAGCTCTACACCTTATAGGCAAAGTGCAAACAAATCCTTCCTGATAGTATCAATCTGAAAGTTCCTAAAGAACTCAAATTAACATTGCTGAAGTAGGAATAAATGGATCGATTTTACACTGGATGGGCCTCATTAAGGATCTTGACCTGGCCCGATCCTTTTTAATAAATCATCCGTATTGGGGGTGAGGTCTTTCTTATCCAAATGTTCAGATTACTGAGAGTGGTAACCAAGAAACTGGACGGGCCCCCGAAGTTCTACCCAGACGGAATAAACAGGCATTAAAATAGTCAATGTAGTTCAGTGTAAACAACCGTAAAGCAATGCACGCTGGAGGAAAGCAAACAACCCCCCCCCCCGAATTCCTAACTTCAAGTAAACACCAAAGTGTCTTGTGGCAAGCCAGCAGCTAGCACATTTGTTCTGACATAAGCTTTCAGCAGCAGCCCACTTCATCAGACGCACGGAGAGCCCCCGCGAGCCAGTTCATATTCGGTACACATGTTGGGTGAAGCGCGAGAAACGCAAGCGGCGAGGTCAGGAGGCGACGCAGCCCGGAGTCCAGCGTCAACCGCGTCCTTCCGCTGCAGTTGCGGCGGCCCCAGCTCACCCCGTTCCCACGTGCCCAGCGCCTGGACACTCTGCCCCGCGATCCTGGCTGCCTCCTTCGAGGGGGCCAGGCTGCGACGCCTCCCCGCTGCCCTCGCCACAGCCTCCTTCCCTCGCGGCCTTAGCACCAGCCCCCTGCCCTTCCTGCGCTCTGCAGCTTGGCCGATGCTAGAGCTGGACACCACTGCTCCACGGCTGACCCGCGCATCGCCTCCCCAGCCGGCTGCCTGGAGGACAAGCGCGGGTCAGCGGAGCCGGCCCGATCTCGCCTCCCGTCAGCCAGGCAGGCGCGCGCGCGCGTGCCCGCGGCCGCCCAGCTCCTCCCTCTGTCCCCGCCTGTGCGCTCGGCGTCCCCGCTTGCACCCTGCGCCGCCAGCCGCGCGTCGGGCGATGGGGCGCCGTTTCGGTGCCTGCAAGGTTCCGCGGCTGGGGAAAGAGGCTGCTGTTCGCTAGGAGGCTGCTGGCGCTGCAGGCCAGGGCGTGCTTTGAGTTTTGCCGTCGCTGTAATGCAACAGAATAATAAATAAAAGTGCCCCGCGCGGCACGGGAGCCGAGCTCTCTCCTCCCCTTCTCCCCCCCCCCCCCCCCCCCCCAGCCTTACAACCCCAGCCTGCAGCTCTTGCAGGAAGTGCCCGGACTTCCTGCAAGGGCTGCCGACTGAGACGCGGAGGTTGCGCGAAGCGGAGCAGGGCGAGAGAAAGCGAGCGCTCGGCTCCCACGCGGCGTCGCTGAACCGCCTGGCCGGGCGAGGGGCTCTGTTGAACTTGGGCGAGTAAGGCGCCCCCTCCCCCGAGACCTCCTCGTGAGTAAGCAAGCGACGGGTAAGCAGCCTCGCCTCTCCCCCACCCCGTCCCCGGCCTTCTTCCAAAAGCTACTGCGGGTGGGACGAAAGGTGTCCCAGCCGGGGCCTGGAGACGGCCCTGCGTCCGCATCCCAGTTACGGGCCACTTCAAGGCGCTCCCGTGCGTCTCAGCCTCCGAGGAGCATCTGCTGCCTTTTCAGGCTGGCCCAGGCAGAGAGACCCCCCTTTCTCCAGGCAGGCAGGCAGGCAGGCAGGCAGGGTGAGTTGCGGGTCTCCTCCGCCAGCCAGCTCCGCTCTTGTCACTGGGGCTCCGTCCCAGGAAAGGGCGCGCGTAAGATCGCAGCCCCGCCGTGTTTTGCACTGCTGCTCCGGAGCGTGTGCAAAACCGTGCTGGGATCTTGCACAGGGCTGCCAAAGTTGACCTCATCGTGCATCCTTACCAACAGGCTGCGCTTGTCAAGAGTTGTGGAGAGGGGGAAAAACATCCAAGTCGCTGCTGACCCTTTCTTTTGGCCTTATACCCACTTCTGTTTTGTTCGACGGCTCAAGTCCCTGTTGCTAAGGAATTAAAGGATACAAGGATATTTCTGGCCAACGTGGATGTTTCTGAGTTAGTTGGAGGATGTAAACACGTTGGAGTTTGAGAAATGGTAGCTTTGAGAGGCAGTTTTGAGTAGAAAGTAAAGTAAGTTTGGAGTGTGCAACTGCAGGCAGGGTGACGCTTCGTTCTTGTTTAGAATGGAAAATAACAAGAATAGCTGAATAAGATCCACTCGTTTCAAAAATAGCAGCGGAGAAAGACTTGACATAATGCAAAACTTTAGTGTTCAAAGTACCTGTGAAAAATGTTGTTGCTTAGGGAGGGTAGGTAGAAAACAACTTGATTTTCAAAGACAATTTAAATATTTTTTCACCCTGAATCCCATTTAGATGGAAGATGATTCTGGGTTGTCTTATAAGAGGTGCTCTCTCAGTTCATGAGTGGTTCCAGCCAGACCTGGTAGGCCTGGTCGTTACCTTAATGATGTTAGTTGTATAGCTTGGAATGCCTGATCCTGTCTGTTCTTGGAAGCCCAGCAGGGTCAGGTCTGGTTAGAATCTGGATCGGAGACTTGCTTCCTGCTTTGAGCAGCGGGTTGCACCTGATGGCCTTCTATTCTAGGCCCCTTCCAACTGTATGGTTCCATTTTTCAATTTGTGATGACCTAAATGCTTATGTGCCTCAATACTTTCCTCTAGCTGCATAATGCAGCGTCTTTCAAAAGGAAATCTTAGTTGTCACAACAGGTGGTCTTACTGAAAGTGTTCCTGATAGGTTTTCAAGTAAATCAGAGATCCCTCCACACATAATTAGAAAGCACCTAGTCTGCAAGGACAAGTTCCTTTTAAAACCTCTTTAAAAAAGCAGATAAGTTTAAATAGGAGCTTTTGTTAATTGAATTAAAATAGTTACGTGACCCAGACGCAGGGCAGGGGAGATATATAAAGAAGTTGGACTGCACAGATGCTAAATTCAGCTTCTCTGTGCTGCTCATATTAGCATAAGATTGCTAGTCCCCCTGACAATTATCTTGAGATGCAAAGTAGAAGGAAATGGTATCTACTCTGAAATAGTTTTGTTACCACTGTTCAAGCAAAGAGCTGTAAGAACTGCTCTGTAGAAAAGCTTTGCCTCTGTTTTAAGAGTTAAAAGGTGAAAATATTGATGTTGCCATTACTTCTGAATGATTTCAGCAGCTTAAAAACTTCAGGAAAAGGGAAAATATAAAAATGACATTTGAAGATGATTTATGCCACCTCCAAAACTTAAGGTTAGGAAGAGGGTTTAAATTTTAAAAAATGCAACCAGTCTGTTAGAAGTGCTTTCCTTTTGATGGCATTTCCCAGTTGAATAGCCTCCTTCAGTGTTTCTAGGTTAAATATATTTGCATTTCTGGCTTGGATTTAATAAGGATCTGTGAAAAAGCTTTTTTGTTCATTGCAACCAGCTTTTTTGTATTGATCAGGATGTTTTCACATTTGATTCTTTCTCAAACTGACATGAAATGAGGCAATGATACTAGGAGAGAATCACAGCAGGCAGAATGTATTAAGTTTTTTACTTTTACATGGATCTTTACTCACACTTTGTTTCTGTTTCACATTTGCCCAAAGTTATTTTCTTTTCTTTTCTAAATGATAGTGAATCAGTAATTGCAACTTTTGGAAAGGGACATTTGTCATCTTAGAAAATAGACATTTCATTATGGTTCCGTGGGTTGGATCCCGGATTGACTTTGCTCAAGAGGAAGGGTTCCATTTGCACAAGGTCCCTTGGCCTGATTTTGGAGGATCCCCTCACACTAAAGCTCACCCCATTCAGTTGCATCTGCTGATGTTGTAGCTGGAGTGGCTGCCATGGGAAGGTGGAAGCGGGGAAGTCCAGTTCTGCCATTGCAGTAATCTAGCTTAAATATGGATTCAACCCTTAGGCTGCAACTCTGTTCACACCTTCTTGGCTGTCAGCCCTGTTTGTGAATAATCCTGTATAGGATTGGACTAAAGTGAACCACATTTTATGATTATTTGGTGCATACATACCTAGGAGTGAGTATGTCTGGGGCTGCACTGAAAATCTACACTCCTGCACACACTTAGGGGTACGTCCCACTAAACACCATGGGATTTGCATAATAGTAGATAGTACAAATCAATGTACAATCTCTTGGATCCATAAACTACCCTTGGTGATTTTAGTGAGTGTACTGTTTAAATCTCTGGGGCCTAATTCTGGCTGAAGTGAATATGATGGGGCCGCTCATGCTAATATGTGTGCAGACCCAGAGTATGGTCTGAAAGTGCATTAGGCAACCGCCATGTTGAAGCTAAGCAAGTCTAGGTCTGGCCTCAGCTTGGGAACTGCATGCAGCCACCCTGAATTCCACAAATGGAGAAGTGCGAATATAAATGGGATATAATGGGATACAAATAATAACAAATAAAAAGGTTTTTGCAAAAGCCACCATACATTTGGTCCAGGGTGGTTCCTGCTATTTCACTGGGATTGTTCTTGATGAAATGGGTAATGAATAGCAATTATGGACACTGGCATATATCCTGAGTTCCTTTGAGCTGAATTCCAGATGCTCTGGCCAATGGAATATGTTGTAGGCAATTCCTGCTATTTGTTTCTTCTTCAGCACATCTGTCCTTGCTGAAAGCAAACAAAACCCCACTTTGGAGGGCTGAGGCAATAGTATGTTTATGTGGAGGTATGGGGAGTGGTGGGGTGCAATGCAGGAATGTGAGAGGGCTATCCTTCTTTGGTGGGAGCTTATACTGGATCAACATCTCTCCTTTACAGAAGGGAAATTTAGGATCATCACTATTATTCCAAGGCAGGTGGAAACCTCAGCCCCAATCAGTCCCTCTGGAATTTCTCTGATGGCCATGTTCCTTCTCTCCGGTTATCTGGTCATTTTCTAGCTCTTGTGCCATTTTTGCTCATTCTAAAATGCCCATGGCAATGAGAACGTTAGAGTACAATCTGATAAGGGTGTTCCCAAAGCGCCAAACTCAGAGGGTTATGGGCATCCTCTGTGGCTGTGAGGGCAATCTTTGGTTCCCTGCTTCTCCCACACTGCAGACCAGCTAGATGGCTGGGTTTGGCCATCTAGCTGTGGTACTCCAGAGGGAAGGGGAGAAGGCTGGCATGCTGCTTAGATGCATTGTATCTTGGTGCCCCCCGTCATCTCCCCTCTCCACTCTCCAGAACACTCTATTCCTTCTTTGAGGATGGTCTTATGAACTTGGGGCAGCAGCCCGTGTGGTCCTTTCTGTACCAGCTGCAAGTGTGGGAGGCTGATCGGAGACTGGAGATTTCTTTCTGACTTTGGAGCTGGGAACCCAAAGTTTCCTGTTGCCCTCTTAACCAGCCTTTTTTTAACCTTAGAGGAACCCTTGAAATAATTCTCATGTTTCAGGAAACCCCTGCATAATAATAGGAGCAATGTATTATTTATTCCCATTTTGGTTCGGTTAATTTAACCGTTTTGATGATGATGATGATGATGATGATGCTATTCAGATAATTGAGATGATCAGTGACTCATGCGCTTGCTTAAAGTGCACACAGACATGTGAAAATGTGATGCTTATTTTTACAGTTTTTTTGCAGAACCTCCATGATCTTTTGCAGAATCTTAGGGTTCCAAGGAACCCCAGTGGAGAAAAGTCTTCTTTAGAAGATATCTAGTGATCATAGGAACACTCTGATAAGCCACCGTATGCTGTTGTTTTGGCATCATCCCTTTGCCCTTTTACCTAAGAACTGGTTGCCATGCAGACAACATTATCACCACCATCTTCCCACTGTATTTTTATCCTGCCTTTGACAACACTGCTGTTGTGAGTGTGTGATCCTATACGTTTTTAGACAGATTACACTCCTACAACCACTAGAGTTCCCCGCCTGGCATGTCAGAGACTGCCTGCTGCTTTCATGAAAGCCTTAACGGGTGATGTGCAATACTTTTTCTTCCCAAGCTGTACATTCTTATGGCAAAGTTTAGGGTGACTCGCACGACACTGTCTCTTCCTACTTGATCACTTGCATCTGAAAAAATGAGGTGCCTCCATTGGAAAAAATACTGTGTTCAAGACAATGAGAAGTGATACTTTTCTGTGGTATTTCACCTGTGATGGGCTGGTTGATCACGTGATCAGTCAGTTTCTTTCATTGATTGAGGCGCTTTTATTAGTCAACTTACCCTTTAGAGCAGTGGTTTCAACCAGTGGTCCGCAGACCAGTGCCGGTCCGTGGGAGATATCCTGCAGGTGCATGAAAAAGCCCTCTTGAGCAAGCCCTCGGAGAGGGGGCACAGCAAAATTTCAGTTGTATTTGATTACATTTAATTTCAATATTTTATTCTTTTATTAGCATTTTTGCTGCTAGATTTCTGGTTATTTTAGAGAATTATCATTTGGGTATTATATTTAAAAACCAATATGCAAAATATTGTATTATGTATATAACGCTTTTCATTTCTGTCTCAGTGGTCCCCCTGAAAATTTCCTATTTTCACTGGTCCCCAGCTGTGGAAAGGTTGAAAACCACTGCTTTAGAGTGTCGATCATACAAACACTATTTTCATGGCATGTCATTGACCTGATTGTACAAGAACAAAAAAAGGCAATTCCTTCATCCTTGCTCCTCTTTATATAAACCAGATAAGGAGCAGCTGCTTTCCCACTTATCCTTCCCTCTTTGCCATCACCTCTGTAGTCTCCCATGGTGTCAAAGTTATTACAAGCACATCAGAGGAAAGTGCTGGTCTTTCACTAATGTTGCCTTGTAAAGAACCATCTGAATAGTTGATATTACAGAAATGACAGTAAGAAGAAAGGATGCATGCAAAAGCAAGATTCATTCTGTCCTTTTTTGTGCAGGTCAAGTGCTGTGGGGTGAAACGATGGACGAGCAGCCTCAAGGCATGCAAGGGCCCCCCGTTCCTCAATTTCAGCCACAGGTAGGATATTGCACTCATGAAGAATGGGTGCAGCACTCTGGCCTAATCTGGCTGGCAGAGCCTCCTTGGATTCCTCTCTGGGGAGAGAAGCACAGTTTGGAGAGATCCTTCTTGCTTTGATTTCAGATGTGACCTGCCATCTCCGACAGGACATCAGGCTGTGCGTGTACCCTGGGAGTTGAACTGAAAAAGGGCTGGAAACTCCATGCTTCTTTTTAGAACAGAGAGGGCCAAATGGGGATGAGAGGGTGAATTTCAGGGAAATCCAGGTTGTGGAGGACCTGATGGGGGCAGCCTGTCCCGTTAAGTTTTTTGCTCCTGTAGATACACTAAAGTAATCTTTAAAAACAAAATGGTATAAAGAACGAACTTGTTTGTTTTTGTCATGCCTGTTCTGTTTTTATTTGTCATGCCTGTTCTGTAATACAGTGTCAGAATGATGGTATGGAATTTATTTCTTTCCATGTAGTTTTCCTTGGTAGAACTAGATTTTCCTGCAAATTCACATTCCTTTAAATTCTAGAATTAGAGTGAGGTGAATAGATAATTCTTATTAAGTGTGGACCATTCTGCTTGGAGAAAAGGGGGTATCAAATACTGTTGCAAAATTAAGGTGATATTTTGGGTGGTAGTTTTCTTTATAACAAGGTAAGAGATAGAAAGAGATAAAAATAACCCTGAAGGTTATACCTCCTGAAAAAGAGAAAGTACACAGATTACATTTTTATATGCCGTGGAATTGTGTTTTGAACTTTCTTGTCTCCAACGTGGGTTGATATCAGTTCATTCTTCCTTACTGTTTGGGGTGTTCTGGGGACAACTGTTAGACAGAACAGAAGATGGAAATGGGTTGAGCTTTCCAGATTTTATGTACAGCAAATCCTGTAGTTGAAAGGGACAAAGAGAGCTGCACTTGTTCAAGTCTTATTTTTTCTTCAATGAAAGTTGAGGGGCTGTATCCTGCTTTAAATTAGGGTGCTGCAAGATTGGCACAGCAAAATGATTTCCTGCCATTGAACAACTGGTTAGTAGTGCATTCGTGTTCTGCAAGGAAATGGCAAGATCTTAATCTTTTGAGCTCTGAAAGGCTGATTAAGCATCTGTTAGGGACGACATAGGCTTGGTGACTCTTGCTGCCGAGTTCTGTGATCTGTGAGTGGTTTGTGTCAGGCAGGTGCCGACTGATGAGAGACACGTGACTTACTTGACTAATTTCAGAGAGATGGGACTAGGAAGTTAGAACCTCAAGCATACAGCATGAGAGCTGCAAAACCTTGTAGTAAGAGGAAGTCAGGCTTTTGTGCAAGGTGATTTTTGCATAATGCTTTGACTGTAACTCAGATCCCTGCACCGTATACTTTTCCATAGTTTCATGGGAATGCCACATTGCGAGCCCCTTTTGTCGTTAAATGCTGCCCCAAGAGAAAATGCCTTTGTTCAGTGTGCACTCAAGGGAATGCAACATAGTCCGTTTACAAATAAGTGAAAGAAACAGTAGCAACCCAAAGTAGTTCTTTAGGTTTGGGAAATGAACACAAACATGTGATTATGTAACTCTTTTGCTATGTAACTTGCAGTGAACTCTAAGGCGGCCTTGGCCTGATTTTTGTGTTTGTGTTTGTTTTGTTGTTGTTGTTTTTAGTGTGGGGGATGGAAATGTTGAAAATTTGGTCTGATGCATAGCAGCAGTTTTTAGGTGACTAAGAGGGTAGAAAGATGAACATTTGCAGTATCATAATACTGCAGGTGTTTTTCTTAAACTGCAGATTGCTGTGAATGTGTCAACTTGCCAGGGCGCACTGCCTGATTGTTCTGTCTGTAAGTGAGAGCTGCCAAACAACTCGGGGACACTGCCTTGTTTTTGTTTGCTTGTTATATTTAGTCCCCACTTTTTTCCCCTTTCAAGGAACTCAATGCAGCTTACCTAATTCTCTTCCTCCAGCAACTACCCTGTGGGGAAGGTTGGGCTGAGAATCTGTCTGGCCAAGAGTCACCCAGCAGGCTCCATGGTTGAAGGGAATTTAGAACCCAGGTCCCTGAGTCTCAGTCCTCTGTTCTTAACCCTTGCACCACACTGGCTCTCACAAGAGGCCGTTCACTGCAGTGTGTCTGGGAACTCTGGTTGGTCTGCCCCCCAACAAGGAGGAGAAACAACACACACTTTGGTATTGTGTTATTTTTCCAATAAGAGAGGCCAAGGGCTGAGAATTGCCTATATACAATGTAAAGCGTGACTGGAAAATATAGGTTTCAAAGTAGGCTGTGGACAGTTGTTTGGTGAGTCACATCTTTTTACTGTCTGCTCCCAACAACATATTATTATTAATTACATTTCATACTGCCCATAACTGAAGGTCTCTGGAAGGTTAGTTACCCATCCAGATTTCAACCAGGTCTGACGCTGCTTAGCTTCCAAGATTAGGCAGGATCACACACTTCAGGCTGTATGGAAGCTTATATTACCCTGTGTTTGAATCTACACATCTGCTTTCCACATTTTACAGGTAGCCATAATACTTCAGCAATCAGTTTTGCAAGCACACTTTGGAGACTGATCTTTTATCCTTGTTAATGTGGAAACCCACCTAGCAGCTTACCTTTAGCTGCAGTTCACATTGGTGCAGGTTTCATTCTAAGGTATAGTTTGGGCCAAAGATAGGGGATGTGTTGATTTCCAGACATTGTTGGACTGCAGTTCCCATAAATCTAATTAGCAGAGCTGATGGTGAGGGATGGTGGAAACTGTGGTCCAACAATATCATTGGCGATGTGTGAGGAATCTGGTTTGGGGGTGGGAATCCATTAGCTTTCCCTGGACTCTAACCTGCTTTCTCTCTGCATGTTCACATGGGCTTCTGTCAGGAGATGAGTCCAAGCAAGTCTCTGAGGCTGGCTTGCACACATGCTGTCTGTTGTTCTTGTGCCTTCTGTGCAAGTGGAGTTTTGCTTCCACATGTTTTGTGTACTTCGGACAAAGAAATGTGTGCTTTGTGTGAAGAAGGGGTCTTCTGGCATTCCCAAGCATTTAAGGACTTGATCTTGGCTTGCAGGGTTTTGCTCGATCCTGACCAGGGTTGAGTGTGAGAGAGAAGTCCTAAGGTCCCCTGGGGATAATCTTCTGAAGTTTGCATCTGTAAGATCAATGTCAACTACCCAGAGGACTTTCTCAGTGGTTGCGTGAAACTGTGGATATATTCCAGACTGCAGCCTTTCAGAGGGAGTTGAAGATGGCCCCTTCCAACTCTGCTATTCTGTGATTCTATGTATCTCTTACAACAGGCCTTCCCAGATTAGTTCCCAGATTAGTTTTATTTACTGTGCTTGTTTTTAGTCAGATTGTAATTATAGTTGATTTATTCTCTTGTAAACTGCACAGACCCTATGGGAATGGGGTGGCATATGAAAATAAATTGATGGCTAGGAAGGTAGGTAGGTAGGTAGATAGATATCCCAGAAGAGTAAGAAAACTATTCCAGGTGGATTTTAAGATCCCTAGTACTCATTTCCCCATCCCTTGTTCTGGTCGATTCTGATTGGAAAATGAGGAAATTCACGCAAGAGGAGAAAAGGAACATGGTACCATGTTCCTCTCCTGACTTTGGGATTGTTCATCATGACTTGTCAGTAGCCATATTGGGTTTGGCCAGAACAGGAGATAGGGCATTGCTGATCTAGTTCATTAGATGGATTACATTAAAAAAACACATCTTTTTTCTGGTATGTGGCAGCTTAAACACATTCTGATCATTACAAAAATGTACGTAATATGTTCTCTGGCCAAGTGATACCTGCATTCAGCGTGAGCCTATTCCTTTCCCAAATTACGCTGTGGCTGGGAGGGAGACCCGAGTGATAGTTGGAGATGTGCAGCTATGTTGCTTCTCATGTCAGGTCTCCACATCTAAATTGTATGACAGGACAAGGGAGAAGATGAGACGAGCTGTCAGTCAGCCACGCTGCCCTTTGAAGAAAGGCCACTGGGGGTGGGGGTGGGTGGGAAGGTGCCGCAAATGGGCTGTGAAGTTTACATACACTGCCCACTGTTAAACAGATTACCTCTAATGAAGTGTCCAATGTGCAGGCCATATCAGTCTAATTCTTGGTGGCACTTCATCTCTCAACTGCCAAAAAACCACTGCCCTCTGGCCTTCTCTCACCACTCTGGCCGCCAAACACAGGGAGGTGCCCGGTCTTAATAAAGCGAGACAGTGTGTGATCTGACATGCAAATGTAGGTCATTGCATATGTAAATGTGTGATTACAAACCTGCATGCCAAAACACATTAGTGAGACTTTGCTCTCAGCATGCGGTTGTCACACTGCCTTAGTAGTTCACGCTAATGTTTGTCAAGTTACTCCGCGGACAGAGGATGCAATTCCCTGTTCAAATTTTTGAAATATATGCTGGTTAAACAACCACAAAACCCCAAGCTTAATGAAGCTGCATTCTGCTGCTCAGTAACGTGAGTGTTTGAATAATAAGAGAGAATTCCCTAAGTTTCAGTGTTTTCACTCAAAATGCCACAGATAACCTCATTAAACCTGCGTGGGAGCCTTTAGAATACACATCTCTGAATTGTTGCAATGCCATCTCCATCAGAGGAGTTCCGTATTTGGACATTGGTGTTCCTGATGAATATTAATTTACTTTTGATCTGACCGAACTGAGAGGCAAAAGCCTAGACAGTATCTATTGCAAATCAAAGAAGACTAGTTGTATACTTAAAAAGCATTTTGCTTCACCGCTGCTGGTACTTTTAAATTCTAATGCAAGAACAGAATTGTTGCCCATCTATAGATCTTTTGTTCCTGTTGTATTTGGGATGATGTTGCATCTCACAAGTGTTCAAAACTTTGATATTTATTTGTAATACTAATGTACCACTTAATAAAATCCCCAAGCAGTTAACACAGCACAGTATAAAATCACAGCCAAAATGCACAACTTTCAGGGGAACCAATTTTCAAACTACAGCCCTCAGGTTCAACTACTAGAATTTCATGATGGCTGTGGTAAGGAAGGGTTCCAACCCAAAAAAATCCAGCCCTGAAGAATTTATATTCTGACACGTACAACTTCCCAAGGAACAGCAGTTGTGATTGCTAAAGCCTCCAAACTTTGTAATGCTCTCTGTTAAGAATTATTCTTCACCTTTAGAATGGGTGAAAGAATATTTTTTAAGTTTAGCCTTTCAAAATGTGTAATTTTAATTCTCAGTTCTAGTTTTTATTGTTGCAGTCTTTATCATTTTTAATTGTTGAACGCTGCTTTGATTATTATTATTACACTGCATTTATATCCCACTTCTTTTCCTCTTGTGAGGAACCCAGGGAGGCTAACAGAGCTCTATTTGATCCTCACAACAACAACAACGCTGTGAAGTAGGCCTGGCTGAGAGGAGGTGACTGGCCCAAAGTCACCCAGTAAGCATCATGGCTGAGTGGGGACCAGAGTAAGCCATCCCGAGACGTTTGTAGGGGACAGGATAGAAAAGCTTTTAATAAACAAACAAACAAATGAACAGATCCAGGTCCCCCACATCCTCAGCCCAAGTCTAAACACTGCACCAGCAAATAGAGAGGTATATACATGTTAATAGGTACGTAACTAAAGCAGAGCTGGCCTTCTACAATACCTTGTTGGACCTGGATTGTATTCAGGAGTTGCTGAAATGATTACTTGAGGCACTGTATGATATGATGATGAGGATGATGATGATGATGTAGATGTAAAAGAGTCCACATGACCATATTCAAGATAGGTGGTTTTACTTGGAGGAAATCTGAAAAATAATACAGCAAAGAATGAAACTCACAGTCACTAACACGACATGCAGCTGGGTTAATTTTTTCACCACATTGTGAGATTGAAGGGGTGGCAGGGGAATCTAGCCTTTCAGCACTCTTTTTTCACTCTGTTTCCAAAGTGGTATGCGAAATGTCTCCTTGTGAATTTACAACATTGTGATAAGGTTTGAATAGATGCAGTAGGGTCTCTGAGATAGATCACATGAGGAATTCCCTGTAGGCTGGCAGAGCTAATGCAAAACTTTTCCATGTGATCCACCAGTACTATAAGAGTCCATTGTTCAAACATAACGCAAGCTGTTTGGGTCAAAGCTGTGGTGAAATGGCTCCCAGACAATACTATGAACAACAATTGCGAGCCCGTGTGCCGTAGGGGTTAAGAGTGAGAGACTGGGCCTCAGGTGAGCTGGGTTCTAGTCCTAGCTTGGCTGTGGAGCCAACTGGGTGACTTTGGGCCAGTCACAGACTGCCTCCCAGGGTTGTAGTTGTGGGGATAAGATTGAGAACAGCAGGAGGAGAATAAAGTAAGCCGCTTTGATTTTGTCATAAATGCATTACCATTCCACCTTTATCAGCAAGGGTCCTTTGTAGCTTCTTTCTCATCTACGGGGCTCAGTGACTATTTCGTTCTTTATTAAACTCTCTTGTTAAGCCTTGCATCAGCCTTCTAGTTAATCCTTTCCTAGGCACAATTTAAAAGCTAAACCAAAGTAGCAGAAGCAAACGGCAGGGAGAATAATATCCTCCTAAAGGACTCATACAAAAAAACGATCTCACTGCCTTTTTGAGTGTTGACAATGAAAGAAAGGCCATGCCATTTTGGCAGGCTAGTCCAAACACACCAACCGGAAAGGACCCTTTTGGGGTGCCTATCCACTTTATCTGGAAAGTTGCAACCAGGATTATATTGGGAGCACCCTTTCTTGAGTTATTCTAGTCTCAGTTTTTTTAGGGTTTCGAAGGTCGAAGCCAGCATCTTGAATTCAGTCCGGAAGCAAACTGGCAACCAGTGAAGGTTCTGGAGTTTGCAGTACTGGCACAGAGAAACTTGGCAATGTGGCAGTCCCAGGAGGGAGCTAGCTGTAGATTTAAAACGGTGTATTGCAGAATTCAATTTACGCTAGCTGCACACAGCCTCTCCTGCATATGGAACAAATCCAATTCTAAAGTGAGCATTAGAAAGTTCAGAATGAGTACACCCATACTGTTTTTCAGATACCATGATTAGGTACTATTGGCAACAAAGACTTGAATTTTTTCCTTTCCCTTCCAACACACACATTAGCTTAATTTGGTATGTGTAGCATGTCTCACATGCATGATCTTAAAGCTAAGCAATATAGCTTTTGGGAAGGAAAGTATGATTGCACATATTCCAGTATGCAATGTATGCCTTATATCATTAAAATGTGTTCTTTTATTTTGACCACAGAAAGCCTTACGACCTGACATGGGCTACAATACTCTAGCCAACTTTCGAATAGAAAAAAAGATTGGCCGTGGACAGTTTAGTGAAGTTTACAGAGCGACGTGCTTGTTGGATGGCATGCCAGTAGCGTTAAAAAAGGTGCAGGTAAGGATGACTCAAGCAGTACAATATGGAAAACTTAGCTGTTGATACTGGGAAGATTGTTAAATGTCATTTTATGTAGCTGTTATTTTCAAAGCTTCCATGCTGCTGAAATGCCATTTTATAAAAAGGACAGCTGTGATCGTAAGAGCAGGGTGGGCAGACCTGGTGCCAGCATGCAGCATCCTCAGATGATTTCTGGGGTCCCAGAGCTTTGGTCAGAGTCCAGCCCTGTGTGGGTGGCTAACCAGGGCACATGAGCAGGGCTGTGCAGCCAGTGTGTGGCCAGAGGTGAAGCACCAGTATAATTTCTCAGAATTCCCCATCATATCCATCAGGTTCACATGACATATTCACATGACACCCCCCCCCTTTGGTACATCTTCTGTTGCTGCTCCGCCCTTTTACTTACGTTTATCAATTCACAATTAGGCGTTTGGATTCTGGCAATGGTGAGCAAATTAGCCAGTTGGGTGCCTCGCCTGTTTAGCACCCAAAACTGACGCGATAACTGTAAGCATACGCTGATGTACCTGCAAAAGGCCAGCAAAATTATCTTTTAGCAAAAGTACAGTTTTGAGGGACTGAAACCACCTGCAATCCTAACTGTATTTTGGGGGCTCCAGAAAATGAATTACAAGCAAACAGATTCATTCTTGGAGCATGAAGGACACGTTCTGCTGTGAAGTGCTCTGCAGTGCTGCTTGGAGCACCGGGGAGGCAAGGATGGGGAGGACAACCCATGCTGTGCACATCTTGGGTTGTTCAGTGACCCACCCATCCACTGTGCAGTAATTATGGGTGGCTTAGCATGGTTTTCTAGCATGTGCTTTGTCTCTCTTCTTTACCTTGCAAGCTTGAGGGCAGGTGGTATAGAGGTAATTCTTTGCAGTAACCCCTGTAGGGTGTTTTCATGACCTGGGCCTGTGACAGTTTTAAGTTAACAATGCAATCCAATACATGCTTACTCAGAAATATTTTTCACTGAGTACAGCAGGGCTTACTTTCAGCCAATTGGTTATAAAATTGTAAACTAAGGTTGGGATTGCAAGTTGATTCACACCAGGGAAATTTTCTCTAAAACTGAAATGCCCATAACTGATATACTGACAGAAGGTTTGGGCATCACTGGAAAAACTAGAACAACTTATTTTCATCAGGTGAAAAATAAATGCCAATGACCAGTCATCCGAGTGTCAGTACTCATATTTGGGCAATGATCAAATTGATCTTCCTTTCCAGAGAAAGGCTGTCTTTAATATATTTGGTAGAGGTGCTGATTTAGTTTTGAGATTAACTGAACAGCTAATTTGCATCTATGCAATCTACTGTGTTAAGATCATAATTGTTTAAGAGAAGCCTAGTCTTTTAAGAGAAGCTTAGTCTTTACACTAAAAATCCAATTTAAAAGTTAAAAGAGAATCCATGTAAAGAGTTTGCAATCCTGTCTATGGGATCGTCTTTCTGTCTGAACAAGACAATATCCCTTGCTTTGCTTGGCATAGCTCCACTATCACATCGGCACAACATACCAATCCTGTCTAACTTGGGTGTCTGCCCATGTACTTCAGTCAGGGAAACAGAAACCAAAAGCCTTTAAACATTCAAGAAGCCCAAACTTACCGTTCAGCTTGGACCGAGTTATTTCGTTAAATGAAAGGCTGTAATGATTGCTCATGTTTGATTGAATGCCCTTCCAGTGAGCAAGTGTAACAAAGCCATTCATTTTTATGATTCGGTAAGGGTAGGTTCAGCATGTTTATGATGAGTCAGTTGTAATTATTTTATTTTTAAACTCTGAAATAATAGCATGATTTTTAAAAACTAATTAAAATCCTTGTTTACATCCTTTATTTTTATCTGCATGGTGCAAAAATTGCTCTGTAGTCTTCTTACAATAAAGACTGCCTATGAGTTTGAGAAAGAATTCTTCCTCTGTATCAGAATTTCCTGCAGAAACTGGCTGTGTTTTCTATGGGCAGGCCCATAGAATCATAAAGATTTATGTGACGGCGATGGTGACAAGCCCACGCATGGAACTCAGCCAGATCGAGCAAGAGCATCTGAGTCAGTCCCAAGAGTGCCAGCCCCAAAGAGATAAAATAGGCGGCCCTTTGGAGCTTCTGTACTGTATTTTCTGTACACAAACTGCAGTGTGGAACTTTCCAGAGCTTTGAGCATGGAAGGCATGCTTGCCTCTTTGCAAGGATAAAGGAAGCACTGCTCCTCTGTGTGTGTGGCTGTGCAAGCGAACACCTTTCTGTCCAGTTCTCTTGAAGGAGCTGTGAGAATATCAACAAAGGAGACTTTTTCTGCATTTTGGATCCCTGTGAGCCTCCCCCCCCCCCCCCCCCCCCCATCCCTGCCTTATTTCTTGATTCTAAAGGAAGCAAAAGCCACATGTAGCTTAGTGTGTATCATGGATTTATGAAAGCCAATTTTAATAAACTCAGAAGAATAATAAGTATCGTTCCATGGCAAGTACCTGTAATTAGGAAAGGCGTCCAAGACGGGTGGATTCCCATCTAAAAGCAGAATTACAGACAATAATGAAGGGGGGGGAAGTATGAGACAACACAAAAGGCCAGTGTGCCTTCACAAAATATTTACAGGTGTCCTGAAAACAAAAAAGGAAGTGGAAGGAAGGCCAGGCTACATAGGAAGAGTAAAGGCAGGTAGCACAGAATTGCAGGGAATGTGTCAGGAAGGCTGAGACTGAGAAGGAGCTGAGGTTAGTGAGGTGCTAAAAGCAACTCAGCATCTTCTGATGCATGCTTAGTAAAAGAAGAAAGAAACGATGGTTCAACTACTCAGTAAGGATGGCACAACAATAAGAGATGACAAAGAAAAGGCAGAAGTGCTTAATTTCTACTTTGGCTCAGTCTTATCCCAAAAGAGGGTCTGTGTCCTACTCTATGACCTCCCTGGCAAAGGTGAAATAGAAGCTGAAGGGGCAGGATTACAGCTTGATATTGATAGGAATACCTACATAAGTTCAAGTCTCCAGGGTCGAGTGTACTCGACCCTGGAATAATAAAAGAACAGGCAGAACTAGTGGTTTAAGATCTTTGAGATCTACCAGGTAAGTGGGGGAGAGCTAATGTTGTCACTATCTTCAGAAAAAGCGGGGAAGGAGAATGCTGGAAGCTCCAGACCAATCACTCTGACGTTAATCACTGGGAAAATCTCAGAGCAGATTATAAAGCAAGCACTTTGAAAACAATGCAGTGATTACTAGAAACCAACAAAGATTTGTTAAGAATAAATCCCATGGGACTAAACTGATCTCACTTTTCAATCAGGTAATCCCCCTGATAGACTGTGGGAATGCTGCGCACATAATAGATCTTGACTTGTCAAAGCAAGGCTTTTGACAAAGTGCCCCATGATATCCTGATTAGCAAATCAGCTAAAAGTGGGCTAGATGGAACAACTATCAAGTGGATTCACAGTTGGCTGAAGGATTAGATTCAGAGTGCTCCTCCATGGCACCTTCCCAAAGTGGGAAGAGGTAACAAGTGGAGTTCCAAAAGATGCAGTCCTGGGCCCAGGTCTCGTCTACATTTCTATTAAAGATTGAATGAGGGAGTTCAAGGATTGCTTGTGAGATGTGCAGGGTAGCATAGGATAGCTAATACCCTGGAGAACCCTGGAGTGCTGGGCTGGAAACAACAGGTGACAAGTTCTGCACCTAGGAAAAAGCAACTAGATGCATTGTTATAAGATTGGGGTGGGTACTTGGCTCAGCAAGTGAGAAGGATACTACAAGTGAGAAGGAACTTAGAATTGTTGTAGATCACAAGCTGAATTTGTTTTTTGTTTAGTCACAAAGTCATGCCTGACCCATCACGACCCCATGGGCAATATTCCTCCAGGCTCTCCTGTCCTCCACCATCCCTCGAAGTCCACCCAAGCCCACACCCACTGCCTGGGCGACCCCATCTAGCCACCTCAACCTCTGCCTGTTCCTTTTGCCATGAATCATTCCCAGCATCAGGGTCTTCTCCAGGAAGTCCTTCCTTCTCATTAGGTGGCCAAAGTATTTGAGTTTTATCTTCAGTATCTGGTCTTCTAAAGAGCAGTCAGGGTTGATATGCATCAGCAATCTGATGTCCATGAGAAAAGAGGGCAGATGGTATGAGACTGCACTTCCTAAACTTCTGAAGTGCTAGTTTGTGGTCAGCACCACTTATCTTGAATAATTCATCCAGTTCTGGGGAGCACCATTTAAGAAAGGTGCAGACAAACTGGAAAAGTTTCAGAGGAGCACAATGAACATGAACAGGGAACTGAAAACAAAGCCCTATGAAGAGAGACTTGAAAGAAGGGGTGGTTTTTTCTTAAGAGAAGACTAAGGGGAGATAGGACAGAACTGTTCAATTACCTGAAATGTTGTCACACAAAGAAGGATCAGCATCTCTTCTTGATCATCCCAGAGTGCATGACATGGAATAATAAGCTCAAGTTACAGGAAGTGAAATTCCAGCTGAACATCAGGAAAGCCTTCCAGAATTTTAGAGCAAAATGAAAAGGGGTTGAATTACCCATAAAGGTCAAGGGCTCTCCCACACTGGAGTCATTCAAGATGCAGCTGGACTGCTCCCTATTAGGGGTACTTGGAGTTCTGCATTGAGCAGTGAGTAGAACCTTCTAAATCCACTATTCCAAATCCACTATTCTGTGATCTCCCCTCCCTTCCCTTTCCTGCTTGCCTTATTCCTTGCTGTTTAATAATGAGCTAGTGTTATAAATATAGATTTATTTTCTTTGGATTATTTTTCAATCTCTTAGTCCTACGTGCTGTGGGACATGATGTTGGAAGGCCTCTGCAACAATTTGGATTAGTGAGTCATTCACAGGCCTGCTGCCATCCTGTAATTGTACTAATCCATGTACTTACCTGGGAAGATGCCCAGGACTGGTTTGCATTGCTGACTCACTGTAGGGTGATGGAATGTGGGTGCAGTGGGTTTTGCACCCCATTCTAAGCTTCCCAACCTCTT